TGGCAGCCAGGACAAAGCATGACCTTGAAACACTGAGCCCGAGGCCGAAGATCTGGACCCTAAATCCTAGCAGAAGAACGGCAGATGCAGAGAGTCGGTCTGCTGGGACTGCTGGTGAGAGGCCCGTAACCCATCGGCGTCAAGCACTAGAACAGAAACTCCGCGACCGTAAAGACCAAAAGCAGAAAGGATTCGGTGGAAATCCTGAACCCTAAACCTGAAAGTTGTAAGCTAAAGGTTCTAAGAGCAGCCGAGCAGCACCCGGGCGACCACCAGACCTGGATTGTCCTTGCCTTGGCAGTTGAGGAACTGTCTAATCGGAACCGGCTCAAGAATTACAAAGGCAAGACCCTAGACCCTAAGTGTGGCTATCCTTATGATGCACAAGTCCTACTGGAAAATGCAAGCACCTCAATGGGAGCCCCACGATACGCGCGCACGAACAAAGCACGATGCGAAAACACAAACATCAAGACATCGCATAGCAGTGGTTCGCGTTGGGAGTTTAGGCTTGCACTTGACAGCTAAAAGGTTGATGTGTAATCTCCGATATGAGTCATGAAGATAACTACGATGATAGTACTTGTTGCCATAAGAAACTCCCAAGTCAGAACAACCTCGCATTCCAGATGAGGTGAGTTGGCCCAAGTGGGCTTCAACAACGCCTGCTTCGATGGCTTACTCGACTTCGCTGCAGTCATAACCTTAAGTTTGCTGTTTGGCGTCTGGGTGCCCTAGCCTCTGGCAGTGAAAGAACTTGCTTGGCGGCTCGGCTCGGGGTTCGCCGCCTCCTTTCAGCCTCTGAAACTCCGCACAATCTCAACTTAGTTGTTCAGGGCCCTGCAACATTATCACATCGGAACCAGAATGGCGCTTAGGTGGACTCATCCTATAAGGTCCTGACCTCTTCTTAAACTCGTGGCGCATGCCGCGGCTTCAGCACCGCCAAAATCGGGCGAGTAGTGGCGTAGGGTTACGGCTACAGGAACCCCCAAAACATTTTTTGCCGCAGGGCTTCGGCCTGAGGCAAAAGACTACACCGGCTGCCGGACCCCAACAAGGACAAGATAACCATCGTAGCGACGAGGTCAGGTTTTGAACTTCAATCCGAACCAAAACCATGAGCGAAGATCCGTCCGAAGGAGTTTGACATTTCTGAAACCACGCCGACCCAAACTCCCTTCTCAGGCAGGCTGCGTAGGCTCTCTGGCGACATGCCCCACTTCTCCAGCGTGCCTGGCTTGAAGTTCTCCACGAGTACGTCCTGGGCTAGCAGTGCAAACAAGAACATCACTTGCAACCTTGCCACAAAAAGGAACAGAGGAAGAATAGCAACAAGCTGCCCCACATCCTCAAGATCGGTGACGGTCTAGCATAGAAACAACAACCAACAACAACAACCACAACAACCACAAGCACAACCACAACAACCACAACCACAACCACAACCACAACCACAACCACAACAACAACAACAACAACAACCACAACCACAACCACGACGACAACGACAACGACAACGACAACAGCAACAACAACAGCAACAACGACNNGCCAACAACAACAATAACCACAACCAAAACCGTAACCGCAACCACGACCACAACAACCGACAACGGACACAGTAGTGCTGGTCGCTGTTGTTGCAGTGGCGGCAGTCGTCATAGCTAGCGGTAGGCGTGTAGCCACGCTAGTGGCAGTGGTGGTAGTGGTAGTA